CATCCTAGCCCACTAACCTAACTTGATCAATATTAGTTGGCCTGTTTGTGATTGTTGGTGGCTGCTGCCCTCTGCTGGCTGCATTCAGGGCCTATACTCAGGGACGGAAGAGCACGCTGGGGTCCTGCACAGGCCTCAGACAACCCACCCTCCACTGCTACCCTCGTCAGGAATTGCTGGTGGGGCCTGCCTGAGTGGGGTCAGCCAAACCGTGTCCACCACGCAGATCTGAGCAAGGCTGTACCCAGGGCCAGCCCACACCCTCCCCACCGGCACCCCAGCGGGGTCCTCAGCCCTTCTGTTTTGTGAAAGACCAAGAAGCCGAAATCACTTAGTTTTTATTCGAATTGGTTAACTGGAGGCTTATAGGAATTTGAGGGGGAAGGAGGGAGTAGATTTATTTGCAAACTGGACGTACTGGACTGTATCGTACTGTTGGGCTGCGCGGCATCGTATTTATTGTATCGCATTGCATTTATTGTATTTGGTGCATTTTAACCTGTCATCCCCGGGCTGTGTGCTGGGTCCCATGGGGCCCTCAGAGCTAAGTGCCCTGCTGGCTGGTGGTGCCATGGTTAAGCACTCGGCTGCTAACCAAAAGGTTGGCGGTTCAAACCCACCCAGCAAGTCGGTGGGAGAAAGACCTGGTGACCTGCTCCAGTAAAGATTACAGCCTAGGAAACCATATGGGGCGGTTCTACTCTGTCATATGGGATCACTGTGAGTCACACGATCCAAACTAACTTCTTGTCCTCCCCCAAGCCCACCCCCACCTGCACCTTCCCCTGGGAGGGCCATGGATGCTCCATCCTTCAAACCTTACAGAGCAGCCTCGATTCTTCTCATTCCCTTACACCACAAACCTTAAAGCAGGCTGCTCCCTTCTCATCACCTCCACTGCTCCCTGCGCTCTGCTGCAAGTCTCATCTCTCATCAGAATTACTGCAGAGGTTCCTGGCTTCCACCCCAGCACAGAGCGATGCCTGAAAAGCACAACTCAGTGTCCACAGCAGCAAGATTCGTAATAGCCAAAACCTGATGCATGGATAAGCAAAATGTGGTCTAGCCATACAATGGAATATTATTCAGCCATAAAAAGGAGGAAAGTCCTGATACATGCTACAATGTGGATGAACCTTGAAAACATTATGCCAAGTGAAGAAGCCAGACACAAAAGACCACATAGAGTATGATTCCATTCACACGAAACGTCCAAAATAGATAAATCCACAGAGACACAAAGTAGATTAGTGGTTGCCTAGGGCTTGTGGTTTAAAATCAGGAAAGTGTGCATCGGGGGTGTAGCCTTTCACCATACTTATTCAGTCTGTATGCTGAGCAAATAATCCAAGAAGCTGGACTACATAAAGAAGAACGTGGCATCAGGATTGGAGGAAGACTCATTAACAACCTGCTTTATGCAGATGACACAACCTTGCTTGCTGAAAGTGAAGAGGACTTGAAGCACTTACTGATGATGATCAAAGACCACAGCCTTCAGTATGGATTACACCTCAACATAAAGAAAACAAAAATCCTCACAACTGGACCAATAAGTAACATCATGATAAACGGAGAAAAGATTGAAGTTATCAAGGATTTCATTTTACTTGGATCCACAATCAATGCCCATGGAAGCAGCAGTCAAGAAATTCAACAAACTACAGGGTAGTCAGCACAACTGGACTACACCAAAGCTAAGAAGTTTCCTGGAAACAATCAAACACTTTGAGGGACAGAGTAGCAGGGGTAGGGGTCTGGGGACCATGCTTTCAGGGGACATCTAGGTCAACTGGCATAACAAAGCTTATTAAGAAAATGTTCTGCATCCTACTTTGGTGAGTGGCATCTGGGGTCTTAAAAGCTTGCAAGTGGCCATCTAAGATGCATCAATTGGTCCCAACCACCTGGAGTAAAGGAGAATGAAGAACACCAAAGACACAAGGAAAGTAGTGGCCCAAGAGACAGAAAGGGCCACATAAACCAGAGACTGCAGCAGCCTGAGACCAGAAGAACTAAATGGTGCCCGACTACCACCAATGACCACCCTGACAAGGAACACAACAGAGAGTCCTGGACAGAGCAAGAGAAAGCTGGGGTGCAGAACTCAAATTCTAGTAAGAAGACCAGACTTAATGGTCTGAGACTGGAGGAACCCCAGAAAGCATGGCCCCTGGATTCTCTATCAGCCCAGAATTAAAGCAATTTCGAGTCCAACTCTTCAGACAGGGATTGGACTGGACTGTAGCACATAAAGTGATACTCGTGAGGAGTGTGCCTCTTAGCTCAAGTAGATACAAGAGATCAAAGGGGCAGCTTCTGTCCGGAGGTGAGATGGGAAGGCAGGGAGGATTAAGAGCTGGTTGAATGGACATGGGGAATCAGGGGTGGAAAGGAGGAGTGTGCTGTCACAGTATGGGGAGAGCGATTAGAGTCACATAACAATATATATATAAATTTTTGTATGGGAATAAAAAATGCCTCCATAACATGCCAAAAGACATCAAAAGTGACTCTTTTGCTAATGGTCTCAAATGAATTTTAAAAAAAGAAAGAAATCAAACAACACATTGCATTGAGCAAATCTGCTTCAAAAGACCTCTTTAAAGTGTTAAAAAAACAAAGATGTCACTTTGAGGACCAAGGTGTGCCTGACCCAAGCCATGGTATTTTCATTCACCTCATATGCATGCGGAAGCTGGACAACGAGTAAGGAAGATCAGAGAAGAACTGATGTCTTTGAATTATGGTGTTGGCGAAGAATAGTGACTATACCATGGACTGCCAGAAGAAGGAATAAATTTGTCTTGGAAGAGTTACAACCAGAATGCTCCTTAGAAGCAAGGATGGTGAGACTTTGTCTCACATACTTCGGACGTCATCAGAAGGGACCAGTCCCCGGAGAAGGACATCATCCTTGGCAAAGCACAGAGTCAGCGAAAAAGAGGAAGACCCTCAACGAGATGGACTGACACAGCGGCTGCAACAGTGGGCTCAAAGATAGCAACAATTGTGAGGATGGCACAGGACTGGGCAGGGTTTTGTTCTGTTGTACGTAGGGTCGCTATGAGTAGGAACCGACTCAACGGCACGTAACAACAACAAGGGCTTGGGGTATGTGGAGAATGGGGAGTGACTGCTAATGGATTAGGGGTTTCTTCTTGTAATGAAAATGTTCCGGAATTAATAGTGATGGTGTGACTATGCTAAAAAAAAAAACAAAATCCTGAACTGTACACTTAAAAGGGGCTTATTATCTGGTATATAAATTCTCATTCTCTATTTATCTACATGTATAAAGCCAAATCAGCTGCTGTCGAGTCGATTCCGACTCGTGGTGACCCCACGTGTTACAGAGTAGAATTGCTCCGTCGGGTTTTCAAGACTGAGACCTTTTGAAATCAGATCACCAGGTCTTTATTCTGCAATGCCTCTGGGTGGGTTCAAACCACAAACCTTTTGGTTAGTAGTTGACTGCTTGATCATTTGCACCACCCAGACTCCCTCTGTGTGTGCGTGCGTGTGTGTGTGTGTGTGTGTGTGTGTGTGTGTGTATACAGTGAAACCTGAAGAGCTGGAATTCAGCGAGATTGCCTTGTTTTTCTGGGCCTTGCAAGTTTTCCACCTTTGACAAGGTGCCATGTCACCGCTTTTCCATCGCTCTCTATTAGCGGAAAATATTTGCATTTTCCTTCTCTGACACGTTTCCGCCTTGGACAGGTTCCAGCTTTGGCAGGGTTCACTACTGTATATATGTATCTAACTCAGATTGTACCAGTCTTCTGCGCACACCCTGCAGGGACTCCATCTCGCCCTCCGTAAAGTGGGTCCCTGCCTGGCCTGGGAGGCCCCTCCTATCAGCCCCCTCCCCTCTCGGCCTCCTCGCTGTCATCCCTCTGCTCCAGGTGCACTGGCCTCCTCACTGTTCCTGGAACCCCAGCTCCCACCTTGTGCCTCTGCTCTTGCGGTTCCCTCTGCCGAGCACACGCTTCCCCGCACACTTACACACCTGCCCCTGCCCCTCCACAAGCAGCTTCACAGCGGCCCATTCTGACCAGCGCTTTAACGTACGCACAGCTTAGGACGTCCACCTTGCCCTCCCCCGAACCTCTTCCTGGCGCTTACTGACCTGTGGCACTGACAAGGTTTCATTTAAACATCCATACGCATGCGCTCCAGGTGGGCGGGGACCTCGCCTGCTTTGTTCACTGATTTGTCCCCGGCACCTACGGCACATGGTAGGCATTCAACAAATAGTTTTGAAATAAATGACTGTAACTTTAAAAATTGAGTGTTAATTAAGTTGAACCTTAAAACCACAATAAGTGTCTGAATACACAGTCTTTTCCACATACACAAAATGCGGGGGGGGGGGCACTAAAGAGTCCCTGGGTGTCGTAACCGGCTGAGCAGCTCAACTAACTAGCTGAAAAGGTTTGCGGTTCCAATCCGCTCATAGGTGCCTAGGAATAAAGGCCTGGCAATCTACTTCTACAGGGTCACAGCCTTGAAAACCCTATGGAGCACAGTTCTACTCTGCACACATGGGTCGCTATGATCAGAAGCGACTCGAGGTCGGTGTCGGTCATCCCGGTAGGGTGCGGGTCCACGAGAGCAAAGGGTCTGCAGTGACCTCGGGGTAAGCGACCCTGAGCGGGGATGACCTGTGGACGGAGGGACTATGCGCTCTGCACAGGAGCAGGCTCCGCGGAGGCGGGCCGGCTTCGCCCCCAGCTCCCTGTCAGTCCACGGAGAGCAGAGCCCGCGCCCGGCTGTCCCGGATCCCCCGGGCGCCACCCTCTCCTTGTGGGTCGGCCGTCGGGACCGCGGCGCCACCCCCTGGCTGGCGCTTCCCCCGGCAGCCCCCCCGCCCAACTCCCCTGGCGGAAGCGGCTGCGGCTGCGACCGGGATTGGAGCGCGTGCGCGGGGCCCGGAGCTCTCGCGAGACGTGGGAGTGAGGCAGTCCCGCCGCGCCTCGGTGGACTTCCGGTGGCTGGGTCTTGGCCGGGGCGAGTGCTGCGTGGTCGGAGGCCGGCGGGGGACGCGGGCCCTGAAGGGGCGAAGGCTGGGAGCCGGGCCGGGGGCGAGCGGAGGCGCGGGGCGCGGGCCCTGAGCGGGTCAGGGACCGCGGGTGGTGGACCGAGGCCTGGCTGGAGCCCCGCCACCATGGCCGCCGCCGTGGACCCGTTCCTGGAGCTGCTGCACTCGGTGTCGGTCGGCTTGACGAGCAGCGAGCTGACGGAGCTCAAGTTCCTGTGCATGGGGCGCGTCAGCAAGCGAAAGCTGGAGCGCGTGCAGAGCGCCCACGACCTCTTCTCGGTGCTGCTCGAGCAGGGCGACCTGGGCGCCGACTACCCCGAGCTGCTGCGCGAACTGCTCGCCTCCCTGCGGCGCCACGACCTGCTGCGGCGCCTGGACGACTTCGAGGCGGGCGCCGGGGCCGGGGCTGCGGCCGCGGAGGAAGGTGGGCGCGCGGGGGCCGGGGAGGGAGGTGGGCGCGCGGGGGCCGGGGAGGGAGAGCGGTGCGCCCGGTCAGTGCACCCCGCAGTCGTACATGCGAAGCGATGGGATTGATTTGCGTGCGTTTTCTCTGACCCTGAAAGGTGGGTAGTATCCCCACTTTACAGAGGGGAGAACTAAAACCCACAAAAATGGGCCTGCCGCCGGTCACGAGCTGCAGACAGCCCGGACACCTACCCCGAACCTCGGTGTTTCTCTCACCACCCCACTTCCTCGCAGGTAAAAGACAAAACACGTAAGAAATGGGCGCTTGTCACCTCTGGGTGTAGCAGAGTGGCCAGAGAAGGGTGGGGCAGGAGTGAGGTGGACCGGGCTCCACCCAGGTTCACTCCGCTCTCGGCTGGGCGGGCGCATGCCCAGCCAACGCCCTGCACCGCTGTCTGAGAGTACTAGTAACCGTCCTAATTGCTGCGCACCCTGAGAGCCGGTTACTATTCCAAGCACTTGGGTGGTGTTAGCTCCCATGGAGCAGGCCCGGACTCCTGGCCACCCCATGTGTTACAGAGTAGAACCGCCGCATAGGGTTTTCTTGGCTGTAGTCTTTACAGAAGCAGATGGCCAGGCTTTTCTTCCACAGCTGCTGGGTGGGTTCAGACTGCTAACCTGGTTAGCAGTCGATCGCAAACCGCTTGCACCCCCAGGTGCCTTTCTAAGCACTTTAAATATTAACTTAATTCTCACCGTAAGCCTGTAAGATAGTGTTACTGTCTGTCGTTCTCAGTTTTGGAGCCCTGGTGGCGAAATAATTAAGAGCTACAGCTACTAACTAGAAGGTCGGCAGTTCAAATCCGCCAGCTGCTCCTTGGAAACCCTGCGGGGCCATTCTGCTCCGCCCTGTAGGGTCGCCGTGGGTTAGGGTAGCCTCGACGGTTTGGTTTGAGTTTTTGTTGGTTTTATTCTGCGTTTGCGGCTGAGAGACTGTGGCTCGGAGGTGGTAAGTGCTTGCCCGAGATGCACGCTCATAAGAGAGCTAGGGTTTGAACCCAGGCAGTCCGCCTCCGGTCAAGTCCGTGCTGTGCTGGGTCCTCCCTTGTCAGTCACCCCCTCTCTCCACCTGTGGCTTGCAGGGGCTTCCAGGAGCAAGAGCGAGGCCTGAGGAGAGCCGTGTGCTTTGGGAACACCCCCACGGGCTTCGAGCTGGGGAAGCTGTGGCCTGAATCAGTCATCGGGTCAGGGAGCCGGGCAGGTCAGAAACTCCCAATGCCACAGGTGTCACTCCATCGGAATTGGTGCTTGTCGGTGGCACAGCTTTGCCTGAAAGCAGTGAAACTGAAATTTCAGTATATACATACGGTGCCAGACAAACAAAATAGAACTGTCGGAAGGTACTGGTTTCAAGTCGATTCTGACTCATAGTGTCCGTATAGGACAGAGAACTGCCCCACAGGCTTTCCAAGGAGTGGCTGGTGGATTTGAACTGCCGACCTTCTGGTTAGCAGCCGTAGCTCTTAACCACTGCGCCACCAGGGCTCCCGAGAATATTTAGCAACTGGAGAAAACCCCTGATAACATACCCGTTTTTAAGTTGTCCACAGGTTAGGTGTGGCGCCCACAGGCGTAGGCCTGTGTTTGAGTTCTGCGGTCCCGTCCTTGCCGTGTGCTGGAGAGACGCACCAGGAGGGACGAGGGCGGCCTGGTAATGGCGGCTCTGTGTTTCTTACAAAAGGCAGTTGAGCATCATGGTTAGGAGCGGCCTCTGGAGCCGGACCACAGGTTTCTGATCCTGGCTCTGCCCTTTTCTGTCTCTCTGACCTTAGGCAAGTCTCTCAGCCGCCTTGTGCCTCAGTTTCCTCATCTGTACAATGGTCCCAGTTACACCAGTGCCCCCCACAGGGTAGCTAGCACAGTTGGGTGAGTTGACGCCCGACAGCCTCTCGCCTGGCTCACGGGCCACCCAAGCAGAGTCTTGTTCCCCCGCCCCCATTCCGGAGGCAGCCTTTTGGGGTCGGTAGTGGTCATGTCCCTGTCTCCGCAGTGACTGTCCGGCAGAGGAGTGACACGGTGGCCGGGGCCAAAGGCTGCTGTCCAGTTAGCCCCTGACTCATGGCGACCCCACGTGTTACAGAGTAGAACTGCTCCGTAGGGTGTTCTTGGCTATAATCTTTACAGGAGCAGGTTGCCAGGCCTTTCTTCCACAGAGCTGCTGGGTTCGAACTGCCAACCTTTTTGTTAGCAGCCGATCACAAACCTTTTGCGCCACCCAGGGACCTTAGTAACTTCCTAGGGCCGCCGTGGTAAATTACCACAAACTGGGTGATTCTGAAACGAGAAGTTCATTCTCACAGTTCTGGGGACCAGATGTCCAAAATCAAGGTGTCAGCAGGGCTGCGCTCCCTCCAGAGGCTCCAGTGGAGCCTCGTCCAGCTTCTGGCTCCACTTGTCCCTGTGGGTGCGTCAGTCCAGGCTCTGCCTTCATCGTCACATGGCTCCCTCCCCCCTCCATGGGTCTTGTAAGGATACCCGTCATTGCGTTTAGGGCCCACCCAGTTAATCCAGGGCAGTCTCATCTCAGGATCCTTAATGACCTCTGCAGAGACCCTTTTTCTAAATAAGGGGGTAGTCACAGCTTGCACAGGTGGCTTCATGTGGACATATTTTCCGGGGGCCACTGTTCAGCCTGCCTTTTTCCTTCCCTCTGACAGCCCCCCAGGCCCTCCCTCAGCTTCCCGGTCCTCCCACACCTCCTGGAGGGGGCCGTTCTCGGGCTCCCTGGCATTCTTCCAGCCCCTCTGCCACTGGGTGACTCGCCTCTGCCCAGCAGTCTACCCAGGACCGAGTCAGCACCGGGTTCAAGGGTGGGGTTACCTGTTCCCCAGAGAGCTCCCCACACCTCTGAGAAATCGCTGTCGCTCCCCTCCCCAGACCTGCGTGCCGCCTTTGACGTCATCTGTGACAACGTGGGTAAAGACTGGAGGAGGCTGGCTCGCCAGCTGGAAATCTCGGACAGCAAGATCGACGCCATCGAAGAGCGATATCCCCGCAACCTGACAGAGCAGGTGAGGGAGTCCCTGAGAACCTGGAAGGCCGCCAAGAGGGAGGACGCGACGGTGCCACAGCTGGTGGCGGCCCTCAGGGCCTGCAAGCTCAACCTGGTGGCCGACCTCCTGGAGGAGGAGCAGGCCCGGAGCCTCCAGAACAGGAATGGGCCCACGTCCCCCATGGCTGGGGACTAGGACACCCGCCTTTGGGGCGCCCTGACTGGCTGGCTCTCGTCTCAAGAGAGACCGAGGGCGTCTGCACCTTGGTTCTGTCCTGCGTGGTGTAACTGAGTGCCTCTCTGCCCCCTGCTGGGGAGACCCCGCCATGAGCTAGGCAGACACAGCCCCTACTCCTGAAGCCACAGGCCGGCTTTCAACGAGGGCCAGCCCTCTCAGCGCTCACTGCACGCCAGGCATTGTTCTGAGCACTGCAGACATCATCATTCATCCCTCACTGTCACCCCGTGAGGGTGATTCCGCTGTCCCCGGTAAGTGAGCTGATAGGGAGAGATGCAGGCAGTGTGGCCGTGACCTGGCAGGCTGTCACTCTGCGGGGAGACATCTGGCCCAGCGAGGCTGAGGAGCCGAGCAAGGTCCCAGAGGGGCACAGGGCATTGGGGTTCGGAGCCCCGGCCAGCTCCAGCCAGCACTGTCGTCCCACCACCCCACACCAGGCAGAAGGGACAGTGTGTCCCTGTGTCCTTGAGAGGCCTCAGTCTACACTGGCGTACCCGGGCCAGCCTGGGGGTGCAGCTCGGCCTGCCCTGGACCGCGCTGAGTCTCCCCTGAGGCGGGCAGCAGGGACAGTCACAGCAAGGGAAGGAGCCGGGGTGACACCAGTCAGCACCGTGCAGCGTCACTTCTGATTCCGGTGATTCTGCAGTTTGCTGCTGTCTTGTATCAAAATCATATTTTTCTGATAATGGAATTGGCAAGGGAGCTGGGTCTTGTGATTTTAAAGAAACGCCCTTCCTGCTCCTGATAAAGCGTACGCCTTCACGGCGGAAACCTGTGTTACCAAGAACTTTCCATTCCTATGGATGAATCATTTCCAATGATAGTTCCCAGAGGTCCCGTTATGGCTTGTTTCTCTTATCCTCTGCAGCTGATAACGGGCTCCAACGTGTGACTAGGATTTAAAAACAAACAGTTGCCACCAAGTCGACTCTGACTCACGGCAACCCCGTGTGTGTCAGAGTAGAACTGGCTCCGTAAGGTTTTCAGTGGCTGATTTTTCAGAAGCAGATCACCAGGCCTTTCTTGACTAAGGTGCCTCTGGGCGGACTGGAACCTCTGACCTTTCGGTTAGCAGCCGAGCGCCACCCAGGGGCTCTGCGGATAGGGAGGCCAGCTCTAATGTCAGCTCCCCTCAGGAATGTTTTCCCCAAGCAGCTGTGGTCGGGCGGCAGCAGCTTTCACCGACTGGGGGCCTGCCAGCCTCCAAGAGGCGTCAGAGAGCCAAGTGGCTGCTCCTCGTGTGGCCCTTCAGCGGTGGCCTTGGGAAGGCCACCACCTGACATGACCCTGAGCTGCTCTGACCTCGGCCAGGGTTGCAGGGCACTGTCTCCCTGGGGACTCCCGCCCTTCAGCCTGCAGGCCTTCAGCAGCCGTGTGCTGACGTTGGCACTGTGTGCCGAGCTGGGCTGTGGCAGGAAGGAGACAGGAATGGTCCTACTCTGTCGACACTAAAAGGCTGGCCAGGGGCACATCGATGTCACCCAGCTAGTCCGGAGCCTGGAGGCGCTGCGCCGCGGCCCCGTGGCAGGTGTGGCCTGGCATCCCTGCCGTGCCCAGCACCACCCTGCCCCCAGCAACAGACACTCTCACCCATAAGTGTGGACGGCATGGTAGGTAGGTAGCTTTGGGGAGTCACTTTTCTTCGGAAAGAAAGAATATCCATATTCCTTGAACAGAGGCAGGTTTGGAAGGCTTGCCTTTCCCATGAGCTCACAGCACAGAGTGCTGAGGCGTGGGAATGCCGGGTGCCCTGGCATTGCCCAGTGTCCCCTGTACACGCCTCACCTGAGAGCAGCCTCAGGCCTGTCGCACCAGGTGCTCGGATGCGGGTTTGACGACACTGAGCGTTCTCCACTGCCTGGGAACGAGCGCCGGGGGGACTCGCGGTCGCTGGCTGGGTCCCCGGCTTTGGCGCTGGTTCAGCCCTGCAGCACCTGAAGAAGCTTGCCCCTCATTGGCCAGTGGGGGGCGCTGGCTCAGCCCTGCAGCCCCTGAGGAAGCCCGCCCCTCCTTGTCCAGCGGGGAGCTGGGTCTCCTCCCCTCCAGGACCACCATCCGGGGACTCTGTGTGCTGGGGAGGTGGTAGGGCGTGGGCTTGGAATCACCTGGGTCCATGCCCAGCCTCACCTGGCTTGTGTGACTTCAGCCTGTAGCTCTCGTGGGGAGCAGGCCTCAGAGGCGGCCGTGTGAGAGAAAGTGCCTGGCTGCCTGCCTGCTCCTGCTGGGCCTCTGTCCTGCCACTGCTGGGCCACCACTGCCCTTTTCCCAGGACCCGGGACGGGCCAGCCCTGGGCAGCCAGGTGGCACCAGAGCAGAGCCGTAGAGCACGGTGGCCTGGCTGAGCTGTGCAGGAGCCGGCTCTCGGAAGGTGGGGACTCAGAGCCACGTGGAAACACCCGTTAGGTCCATTTGCTCAAGCCGTCCACCAGGCAGGGCCCTGGGCCCCGCCCGCCAGGCAGGTGCGCCATGTCAGGTGGCAGCCGTGAACGAGACAGCCCGCCTTTGGGGTGTGTGGGGTGTCCCCCGTTTTTGTGAACAGAAAATGGCGTATAACACTCATAAAGGAAAAAGACAGGTGCCTCTCTGGATCCTAAAAGTGGGGAGATGGACTTCAGCTGTTAGACTCCTGATAATTTCTAGATGGTGTAACTGCAAATCGTTATTTCTTTGTATTTTCTATATTTTCTATAATATATTGTTCTCAAGCATCGTAAAGGAAAAAGTTGTCCGCCACCCACTTCTAATAACAGGTGTGACGTGCGCTCCTGGGTGGGAAGCGTTGGTAGAGAGTAGCTGAGCACACGGATTTTCCCATCCGACCAGGGTCCACATCCTCCTTGGACTCAGCAGCCGCATCACCCTAAAAAGGGACAGTTAGACATGGTGCTGCCAAAATGTGGCAGCTTCCTTCTTGGGTTCTCAAAAATCGGCCGCCTGGTTTCACCCAGAGCCCAGCGATGGGTCAGGACACTGGCCGGCATCCAGCGTCTGCCCTCAGAGGGGGTGGGGGCAGGTACGGAGCATCCCCACCCCCACCCCCCCCCACCCCCATTGACTGGAAGGTGTGTGGGGTCTTAGGCCTCCTGGGCTGGGCAGGGTTGGTAGAGATGACATCCTGTGGGAGCTGTGACCTCTGGGAGGGTCTGTCCCTGCTCTCCGGCATTGTGCCCCAAGTAGCCAGCTGCTACAGCTCGTGGACAAAGATTTCTCTTTGCAGCTTTACAAAAACACATTCTTTTATTTTTTGCAATAACGTAGAAATTATATTTTTGAAAAAGGTGCACGCAAGTCACGGAGCTTGCTTGAAAGCAGTGGTTAAGAGCCACGTTTTTCTCTCCGAATCCTTTTCCCCTAAAAGTAGGAAAGACAAGTCCAAATGTGTGTGCTTTTCCAGGGCCCTCAGGCCTGTAAGGGGAACTGGACAAGAGCCCCTGGAACAGGGCCTGGACTCCTTCCCTTCTGCCTACATTACATGGGGCCTGCCCTGCCCTGGCCACGCCGCCCCTAGCCACCCCTCCTCTACCTGGTGCTTTCCTCAGACTCCCAGTGGGGCAGGGGTCCTGGCAGGCTGCTTTGTCCCTCTGTCCTGCTGCATGTTCCTCCCTGGCACCCACAAGACCACCACCACCCCCATAAAAAGCTGCACTTGGCTGCAGTCACTGCTTGCCCGGTCCATGGTGTGCTTTTCTGTCTCGCTGGACCTCTTGGCGCTTCTGTTGACCATTCTCTGCCTGAACTTTTTACTGCCTCCCTCCTGGTTCTCCTTCCTCTGGCTACCCCATCTGGGTGTCCCTCACACACTGTCCACACCTGTCCCGGCCTGGTGCCCCACGGCTTGCTGTCCAGCCCGGTTTGCCCCGGAGTCCTCAGAACCCATATCGCCAACTGCCGAGTGGGCACCAACTCGCCTCGTGACACGGTCAATTTCCTGTGGCTGCTGCAACAGATTCCCACGAGTTCAGAGGCTTAAAACAACACAAATTTATTATCTTACAGTTCTGGGGCCCGAAGTCCTAACTGGGTCTCACTGGGCTAAAATCAGGGTGTCTCGTCTTCTGGAGGCCCCAGGAGAGAATCCGTTCCTGGCGTTTTGCGGCGTTTAGAGACCACCTGCATTTCTTAGCCCATGGCCTCCTCCTCCATCTTTAAGTCAGCAGCATACTGAAACCAAACCGACTGCCATCAGGTCAATTCCGACTCACAGCGACCCTACGTGTTACAGAGTAGAACTCCATAAGGTTTTCTTGGCTGTAATCTTGTCAAAATGATCGCCAGGTCTTTCTTCCACAGCACCACCGGGTGGGTTCCAGCCACCCACTTTTAAGTTAGTCACGTGCTAACCATCTGCACTGCCCAGACAGCGACACAGCATCTTCAAATCCCTCTGCCTCTGGCCCCCCTGCCTCTTCCACTTACGAGGAGCCTGTGATTGCATCGGGCCCACGCAGATATTCCAGGGCCATCTCCCCACCTCCAGGGACTTGACTTCATCTCATCTGCGGCGTCCCTTTTGCCGTATCAGGTGCCCTATTCACAGGTTCGAGGAATTAGGAGGTAGATATCCTTGTGGGGGGACATCGTTCTGCCACCCCACGCCTCAAACTCAGCATCTTCCCAACCACCCGAATTCCGTGGCTAATGCCACCATCCACCCAACTGCTTCCTTCCACCCTGGGGCCACCCTCCCCTTCCATTTTATCTGAGGACCAGCACTTCTGGGTCCTGGCTCACAGACACCTCCACCCTCCTTTCTCCTGGCTCTGCTGCCACCCCACTCCGGGGGAGCCTCACCCCTTCTTTCTAGACAGCCGCGGGGACCTGCTGACATGTCTGTCCACTTTGTTCTTGCCCCACCCCTTCGAGCCCATCCCCTGCCAGCAGCCAGAAGCACAAACCCAATCATACTACAGAGCCCAGACCGCCTTAGAAACCTCGGCTCCCTAGGCGCCTGTGCGGGTCCTCCTGCTGAGCACTCTTCCAGCACGCGGCCCCTGTGTGCACTGTTCGGGGTGGACGGCAAGCACGTCCGTCCTGCGGCAGTAACCCCTCACCCTCATCTGCCGCCTGCACGTGAAGGTTGGGATCGCCGGCTGTGAAGGTAGGACCCCTCTTAACAGGGAAGGTTTGCAGCTGGAGGCCATTTTCATCAAAGAAGCCTTCAGCGTCTTGAGTTATTTACTGTGGTGAGGCATGCACACCAGCCGCATGAGGGGTCACCAGGGGACAGGGGAATGCAGCACCGGAGCCACGTTCTCACAGAGGAGAACCGAGTGGCCTCTCCCCCAGCCTCCGTGGTGCAGCTTGAATAAAAAAATGAGTGGCCGTTCGAGTCACCCCAGGCACGTGGCAGGTACAGGCCCCCAGACTCCTCAGCCTGCCCGCTAACAGTCTGTAGACATGAGGCTGTCAGTGTGTCTCTACATCACGCTTCCCATTAAATTGGCCACGCGCTTAATCACGTGATTAACCTAAATCCTACTGATCGTGTAGAGGCTTCTCTCCCTGATTTGTCATTTTACCGGAGGTTTTTCTTTTACAAAGACTAAATGCACACGCAGCCATCTGGTTTTATGTATGTACTGAAGTAACATTATTAATGAAGACTTCGTCACAGGGAGGCAGGGGCAAAGTTACTCCTTTGAAAGGAGGTCTTGGGTTGGAGAACCCCAGCTACAAAGGGTCTCCACGCCGTGGGGATAAAACTAATCCATGTGGCAGCACACCCAGGACAGTGGGCATACTGGCTTAGGGTCGACTGTAGACTGCAGTTCATGATAACATATCACCATGGATTCATCGGTTACAACAAACACCCCCGCGAGTGTAAGGTGTAGTAGGGGACGCGTGCAGCTGGAGGGGTAAATGGGAAGTCACTCCACGCTGGGCAATTTTTCCGTAAACCTAAAACCGCTCTAAGATATCTTCATTCGGTGCCATCCAGTCGATTTCGACTCAGCAGCCCCGTGCGACAGGACAGAACTGCCCCACGGGGCTTTCTTGGCTATAATCCTTACAGAAACAGATCGAAAGGTTTTCGTCCACTGGAGCCGCCGGGTGGGGGCGAACAGCCGACCTTTCAGTTCGCAGCTGAGTGCTCAACCGTTGCACCACCAGGGCTCCTTCCTAAAATATTAAGTCTGTTTTTT